ATACAACTATAATTGTTGATTATTTGGTATCTAATTTTCCTGCATTAGACAAAGTATTACGTTATCATTCTCGAGTTCTGTATAGCACACGTCCGTCTACATCGGTGTCAGCTGATTACACTGAACAGTGACTAACTTCTGCCCTTTTTATAAGGGTCTGCAGAGTAGCGAGACTCGGGAACAAAAATGGCGGACAGATTCCTTTTATGAATCGTGTTCAGCTTTAAATTTGTAAGAATACAGCTGTTTGTACTGTTATCTTCTAATTTGTGTATTTTGGTTTTTTAAAGATATTGATGAAATAAACATTAGATTTTTTATGAAATGTTGGTCCAGGAAAGGTACCTGGTAACATTATTTTTTACAAAAGAATAGTAACTCTTGTTTTACCCAATGTACAGGAAATCAATACTTGATATCTTAGAAGCTGCAGATCTGTAACTCTCCGAAAAAAATATATTGATAGACCAGAGAGCTACAGTGCCACCCATTGAAAAAACTATATATTTATTGCGCACAAAAAAGTTTGTTCGGTTCTCGATTTATTTCTCCATGTTTTTAAAACTATAATCTCAAATTATTTAATATTAAGCGTGTGTTCCTAACATATTCTTTCTCTGTTTCCACAACCAAACATTTAGTGTTGTAAAGTTAGACAAATTTTACTATCGATTATCAAATTGAATCGGAAGAACACAATCGATTATATAATTGATAATTTGAAGTATTAAAAAAGGTTAAATTTATTCATCCTGAGAAGTATTTTAAATAGACAATACACCAGGATATGGATATAATTCGGCATCAACCTCTTCACCATGCACATTTGCCATTTTGTATACTGCCGATAAGAGTGAAGTCCCTTTGGTGAATATCAAAGTTAAACCTGCTCGGCTTGAAAAATACGGCTTCAAAAATATAGCGATCTATTGATGATAATATTTACAATCGATTGTCGCCGATCTGGGCCTTTAAACGACGATTTTTCGATAGTCGTAACAACACTACAAACATTCCTCATAATTGTTGATGATAGTCCTCCTGACCTTGACATTGTAATCATCAAACATTTTGCTTATTTATATTGCCATTTTGGTTTCAAAGATAATTCCGTCCAATATGCTTCATTCAGATGTCAACTACGACAGTATTTGATAGAAGATAAGGGAATATTTTAAAATCTTTCCTTATTTGCAATTGAGGTAAGAATTCGGAAGAATTAATTAAGAATCGAGAGCACTTTTTTGTGTGCAATAAATATACAGTTTTTTCAGTGGGTGGCACTGTAGCTCTCCGGTCTATCAAAATATTTTTTTCGGAGAGCTACAGATCTGCAGCTACTTGATATCATGATGATTTAACTCAATGGAACTTATTTTACTTCTTCATATTGGAGGAAGGAAAGTATGTCAGTTAGCTGAAGGCAAATGCTGCAATGTGTTATTGAATACACTGCATTTTTTTTTAAGATGAAATATAAGATAGAAGTCCTGGTGAAATATCTAGCTAAATGTTTGATGCATCAGCTGATATCTTAGTTCTCTTGAATGACATTTTGTATAGATATTTTCTGCTATTAGCTGACTCTATTAATTATAATTTCATCCATTTCTTTCTGATAAACATACTTTTTCTGAATTAAATGACTTAAATCATCTTTGCTAAACTGCTAATTAAATGACTTAAATCATCTTTGCTAAACTGCTAGCTAAGGGTTTCTGATGGGAGATGGACTTATTACATGTACTAACTGGAGTACAAACATTAATTGGAAATATATTGTACTTTTGGATATTTATTGTTCGATTCGAATCACACAATTTTAACAAGCTCAAACTGTAGGTTATGACTTTAAAATCTTGTGATATTTGGAGTTTTCTTGATTTTTCTTGCATAAGAGGCACAGTACTGTAGGATAGATAACTGTGAAGTGAATGTGATTCTGTCTATGTGTTCACCACCACTGATCACCAAACTCGTCAATAAACCACCATGATTTATATACTATAGAAGCTGTGGTGCTTTATTAAGAATCAATTGTACTAGAATATTCAAATTTTTGAGTGAAATATGTAGATAAAGTATTCAGGTGCAAAAGTTAATTGAAACAATAATAATGGGGAGCAGAGCTAACATGGACCTCTCAAACATTAAACTAGAGGTGGGATTGGGTGCCATAGAGGAGTAAGCACCCCATTTTGTGCAGTCACACTTGCCTTGAGTCTTTTTACATTCTAGAGCTTCACAAAGTCTCTTTAGATACTACACAGGGATTTAAGTATAAATTTATTAAATGAAAATTTCTGCTTTTAATATAGTTTAAGAAAAATACATTTTTTTATGTACCGTATATAGAATAACTAAAACAGTCAGCTGTTTATGAAGATAATTATAAACATTATGTTATTGGTTTTAAGTTTATTTACTTAATTATGTTATCAGTTATGTTTATAAATATGTTTCAGTGTTCATAAAATGTTTTATTTTTAAAATGCTTAAAAAAATAATCATCATAAACAGATAAATCATAAGATAGTTTCGCCAGTTGGAAAAGGAACTCACAATTTTTGTAAAAAGTTATGAATGATGATAATTATGTTTATTATATACCCTGGTAGTCTGTTTATAGTCCCTATATAATCTATACAAGCACAAACAGTTCTTAATACTACATATAATTATTCACTGGATTTGAGTCCATATTCACCGGAGGGTCAGTGCAGCGGCATTGTGACGTTATAATCAACACCTCAAACAACGCTGTAAACAATGGCTGGAGTATCTGAGTATCTGAGCTGGAAAAATCAGGGTTCGAAATTAACTCATGTCCGTAAGTCCGAGACTAGTAAAAATTGTGTCAGACTAGCAGAATTTATAAGGTACTAGTCCGCACGGACTAGTGCAAATCCGGATATAAGTCTTGAATATGTTCACATTTTATTAATTTTATTTCCGAGTCTCTTACACGTTTGAAAATAAATGAGAAACGCAACCATGATAAAGCGTTTTCTACATTGTGATCAATAGACAAAGACGTGACCATGAGGAGATTTCTGAAAGTTGAAAACCCTCTTTCTTTCACCACATGCTTCCAACTGATGTGTGGACACATATTTCATTGAATAACTGATAAAATTTTAAGATTTGTGTTATTCTTTTTACATACTATAGGGCGGACTAGTAGAATAGTTTGCGGACTAGTGGAAGCTAGAAGTCACTAGTCCGTGCGGACTAGTGCTAAAAAAAGTTAATTTCGAACCCTGAAAATGTTGGACAAACCTATGGCAAATTATTTTTACACATTTGGACATCTTACACATGGCGAAGCTCGAAAAGGAAAACACAGAGGTTATAAACTGTAATCCGGATATTTAAAACGAAAATGAAAATTGTGTTGTCATGCACCTTCAGTGTCTTATTTATTCAAATCCGGATTATATAATAAAACAATTATGGACTCTTTTGGTGTTAACAAGACCCGATCTACTTGATCTGCACATAAATTTTAACGCAGCGTTGACTCAGGCACGTCACAGTACCCTAGACTGCCGTCACAATTGAATATAATAAAGTCGCAAATAAAATGATGTTGCGTGTTAAGAAAAAAATAAAGCATGGAGAGAAAAATTTTTCATAATAAAACACAATTGAATTATTCTTTTAGAAACTAATAAAGTATTGCAATTGTTTGTAGATGTTATGTAAAACCATTGCGACTTATAAAGTATCTAGTTGGATAAAATAAATACTAAGTTTGTGTTTTGATATGCCCCCTTTTCACTGCAATAAAGGCTACCCCCAATTTTCTTTTCATTTTTTATAAGAAGTTTGAAAATTGCATGATATATATGAAAAACAAAACATTTCATCATTTATTTTTTTTAAATTGTCATTTTCTATGTTTATTGGAGCGTTTTAGTATGTAATTGTGTGTAAAAACACGAAAAAATGGTCCATGTCTTGACAGTGCCCCCATTTGACTACAATAAAGGCAAAGTAACAAATTTTCATTCTAATTTTTCTGAGCATAATACATACAAATATATTTCCAAGAATTAAAATTTTTATCATTCCATTTTCGTAATTTTCAACTAGATCGGGCCTCGTTAAATATGGTTTTTTATTCACCAGAAAAATATCAATATTGATATTTTTCTGGTGAATAACAAACCATACTCAACACGAAAAGAGTCCATAATATATATATAATGCATGTATTATAAATATATAGATTGTAGTCCAGTCTCCACAAACCATTTATAAGCCATATCATTTACACACTGATTTACAGATTTTCATTTAGTTGACTGAGAATGAATTTATTTTAGGATTGACCATATTTATTTGATTGTTGACACTGTTTAATTGGATTAAGTATCAGATCCAATAAAGGTAAAACAGTAAAAACAACTTGTTATCACCTTGTTGTTCAGTTATCTATAGAACAAAGGGGAGATAACTTAGGTTATCCTCTCACTTTACACGTAATGTAAATATACCCTCCAGACAGGGTAAATATTGACGCTTGTATGTGTTGTAAAAGCATCAGGGCTTTATAGGCATTGTAAACTTATGTATCATTTCTTAAGCAATTACTTCCTGTGTCTATAATTTTATCGTTCACTTGTGTAAAATTTAAACGCAGGTGTGTCAAGTTATCTAATGTAGAGGGGGGATAGTCGCATACATAAATAATTGTAAGTTTTTCCCCTTTTTAGTTCTTATACTGTAAGTTTGTTTGTTGTATTGTTCATAGCAAGCGTTTAGTGGTTTAATTTTCACAAATATACACAGAGTACATTAAAATTTAAGTAGATTTTTCTGTATATAAGGTCAAGTGTCTACTCTTAGTCGAATATTTCCTATTGCCAGTAATTAACCATTGAATATAAATGGTATACAGTGTACATGTATATATTGTGTATATATATCCACAATTTTATGTGTGTATATGCATGTATTGTGAAATTTATTTACTTCGTTTCATTGAGCTGTAACAATGATTGTTTTATATTTGTAGGAGTTATTGATTTTAAACCACGTAACATCTGCTGAATCGCCGATGTTTTATAAGAAATGTTTACTGGTCTACGGAGAATGTGCCTACAGACTTTTAAGCTGAAGGTAAGCTGCTATTAAGTATTACCCCAAATAGCAAAATAGCGACTGTGTTGTTAGTTGCGTGCTTGATAGCTCTGTAGGGTGCAGTTTGGTCTGACAGGTCTGAGACTCTCACATGAGGTATGAATCTCTAAGGTCATAAGGTTACTTCAGGGTGCATTCAAGATCACAGCAGCTATAAAGGTCTAGGTAGAGCTATGATATTTTAGCTATTAAAACTGCTATGTAGCATTTCATTAGATCTGGATGTGTAGTCAGCTCTATTTTCTATAGATCTATCTAGATCCATTTTGCTCACCACTGGTGTCATATAATATATTGAACCCTGCAATATTTTGAACCCAGATTCAAAATTTCACTAAAATATGGCTACGAAATATTGAACTCCCCTATAAAATACTGGTATTGAACCTGGGGTTCAAAATATTATGTGATATATTGAACCTTGGTTCAGTATATTGCAGTATCAAAATATTTTGTTACACTGGTAATGCAATATATTTCTCCTATTTGATATAATTTAAAAGTGAAATTAAATCTTTCAGCAATGTGTTTATCTACAGTAACTGTTCAAAAATGTTGCTCTCTTTCTGGCACTAAATGACATCATTCACTTCATAAGTAAGAACATTCAAGGGTATCAGTTCATATTTCAACAAGCATTTAACATAAGGGCATTGTAGTTTCCAGATAAAGTACATGACAGTTAGGAAAAGATTGAATGATCAATGGAAGACAGTTTTCCAAGACATGTTTCATTTACCTGCATAGAATTTGCTTTTCCTTAAGTTTGTCAAAGGTTTCTTGTTGGATAGTTGGATACAAATAAAATGAGTTTTAATCAAGGGATTCTTTTCTCGGAGAACTTTCCATCAAACCTTCACCTTGTTGTGAATTTGGCTGCATGGAAGCAACGTCATCTTGTAATTCTAAAGTGCAGACGGAGTTTTGCAGGCATTTCGTTCAAAGTCATAAGTAAAACTATGATTTCATTAGTTGTTTGGTAACTATAAATTTCAAATTTGATATACATGTAGATTGCAAACATTAGATAGCAATTTAAGAAAAGAAAAATGATTGTTATCCATACTTATTTTCACCATTTGATAAATTATATTCAATTGATTCTGGGACAGTTAAATCAAATGGATAAAGATCTGCAAAGTTTACAATGAAAACTAGGAACCACATACAGCTGATAAAGTCTCAGCTGAATGCACCTGTCAATCAGCGCAAACTTTTTGTTATGATTGAGTGACATGGGGCATTATTTGAAGTGTACAAGGTATTTTTTGGCATTGCATAAAATCTCTAGCTTTGAGACTTGTCTTGTCCAAATTTGGTGACTGTTATTTGTGTAATCTACATAAACTGGTAATATAAGAATTCTGCAAATCGCTGTTATGTCAGTGATCAAATATATTACATAGTCAGCTGTAACAGGAAGATATGCATGGTTATCTGTATAAATATAAGGTTTTGATGGCAAAACTGAAATAGGCATGTATTATCAGTTTTAATTAGAAAATGAAGGAGCCAGTCAAAAAATGATTGATAAGATATCTGAAAAACTTGCAAAAAAATGGAAAATTGGAGGGGGGAGTAGTTCAAACTTCTTTTTTGACATTTTCAGAAACGTTTTGGAGTAAACCTTCTGTGATTTGATTTAACCATATTGCAACTAAAAGCAGAGAGGCAACTGGCTTTTCATGAGACATTTTCATACTTAATTAACAACAAAATTAAATGGATAGAAGGGGGGGGGGGGGTTGTAAAAACATAATTAAGAGGCTGGCTGTATAAAGTTGGAATATACCCAATGAATCATGAATTTAATTATTTAAAAGGAATTTAATCTTTCTGAGTGGGTGGAATACCCCTCTATATAATTCTCAGTGGTGTGAATTTAACAGAAACATACAAGTTTTTAAATAGACACATCAGTGACGATGTTTACCGACTAGTAAATCTTAATGATTGTAAAGAGAGACCCAATTAGAACCTATTAAACAATAAAAATGATTTTAACAGGCTATAAAACAGAGTCCCATAATGGATGGGAAGAAAGTTATTACCATATTTGATTGTATCATTTATGGAGTATACTCTGTCAAGAAACATGAAGGCCTGAGGAAAAAAGATGTCTGAATGTTTTTGTGAAGTCATGCAGACATATAAGTTACACATAGTTATGATGTGGACATACATACAAGGCAACCTTAAATCAATAAACTGCATGACTATCTTCAGTTCATTGAGAGTATACACATAGATTGTATTGAACAACTTATTCATGATCAGGTACTGTTAGTTAAGGAAATCAATAGATCAAGCAACATTTATGGCACGTGTATAGATGTACATGTATAATATATCAGAGTTCATAGTACTCTCCTTTCGCCTGGCAAATTTCCGTGTTTTAATCTATGTAGAGAGATTCAGCCTGCTTCTCTGTATATACAGGTACACTGTATATGTATACCGGTGTAGTTCATTGTTTGTTTTGGTGACATCACAAAGGCAACAGATGAATGTATGGGGCACGTGATAAGAAATAATTTGGCAGTCGTGTTTGACCATTTAAAAATGTGGTGGGCTGGACTCACGTATTTAATAAAGTTTAGAGTATGACATTTATCATGTATATATGAATGAAGTCAGTTTCCTGTGCACAAGGCCTTAATAAATATTGTGATCATTCTCTAGGATGTTATTAAATATATGTGGTGATGTAATTGGCGCGAAAACACCTGTCCTAAAACTACCTGTAGCAGTTACCTGGAATGAACTCTTTAGCTAAATTTTGGAATTACTTTTTACAGCATTTCTAGAGGTTTGTTATGATTATTTATACAAACTGAGTGCAAGCAATTGTGTAAAAAATTCACAAGGTAAATTTAAATTCCTTTCATGTAATAATTTTGATAATGAAAATATGGGAATGTCAGAGGCTTACACTTTCATTTCGTGTCTTTGTTTGTATAGAATTCCTTTAAGTGGAATTTCCAGTGATACATTTGTGTATCCTAACTGTGTGTTTGTGTAAAGACTGTAGATTAAGGCTACACTGCTTGTCACTGTAGGAAAAGATTGTCACCACAGAAGGAAGTAGAGAGTGAGATATTGTTTTTAATGAAGTTCTCCTATAGCTGACATGGGGACCAAGGTGCAAGCCCTGCAGCTGTGGTGTAAGAAGCAGACGGACGGGTACCGCGATGTGGAGGTCGTCAACATGACGTCCTCCTGGAAGAGCGGCCTGGCTTTCTGTGCCATCATCCATCGATACCGCCCGGACCTCATGTAAGTTAAAACAGCAGCCGAAAAAATTCAGACGTGTCTTAATTTGAAATTAGTTCAGCTACTGTACAGTCATTAATAAATTGCCTAAGGCTTTAATTTAATTAATTATATGTTGAAATAGATGTACAAAATTTAAATTACTCTCTAGATGGTATAAAAAATAGAGTGATTTTTTTTACCAAGTAATGCTCTGTTAAACTGAATGATGATGATGTTACAAAAATACCCCATTGATAATACATTCAATAAAACAGGTTTCTTTTTAACAATAAACTGCTATTTAAAGACAGCTAGTCTGTGTCTTAAATGCATGGAATAATCTGTTAAGTGTATTATGCAGTCGGTAGTTGCTCAGTTATTTAATTTGCATAGCCTGCATTTTTGTGGGGAGCCCTGAACACCGGTTTATACTGTGTTGGTATGTGGTCTGTAGAGACAGATATTGTTCACCAAGGCCAGAAAATCTTTTAGTTTGTACAATAATGTTCAATTGATTGACAAATAGAATTTTTTCAGCTTTTCTATATATAAATAAGATTTTTGCCTTGAATCTGCACTACATTCATTGCAAATATTGTTTTGAACAGTCTTAATATTTTATGAAATATCCCCCCCCAACCAGCATCACACCCCTTCCCCTCTGGGAAAAGAGAATTGATTGTATATTGATAAATAATTTGATTTAGAACTTTGTAGTAAAAAAAATTAATAATGCATTTAAACTAAAGCAGTTTAAATACATACCGGTAATTGAGATAATTATGTGATATTTTAAAAATATATACTGTGAACCGTTAATTGATAGAAGCAGTCACAAGGGTTAACATTGAATTTAATACAAGTATGCCATATGTGGGATGTCCAAGAGACAAGAGAACAAAACCTTCATTGTCTATATTGATAATGCAGTTTGTTTTAAACCCACATACATTCCTCCTAAAATGTTTTAATTAGTATAATTAACTGCATGCCAGCCATGCCAAAAAAAAAATTCTGAAAGTTGGCACAGAATTCCTGGCTGTGTTTATGGTTTTGATTCCATAATTATCTTTGTACAGCTTTACTTCAGATCAATTACACTATTCAATAAAAGTAATGAAGTTACTACAGAGAATATATATTCTTTATTTAAGTTTTAACTAGATAATTTTTTTAATTGACATTTATGTTAACAGGGTGTTAAATAACTTGTAGAATTTGGCTTCAATGTATAACATGAGTGATTCATGATGCTTACTGTACAAGAAGTAAATTCAAAACATATCTATCTTTTTTTCATAACTTAATTCATTCTTTCCTCATTTCAGAGATTACGATGCTCTTGCCAAAGAAAATGTCCTTGAAAATAACAGCTTGGTAAGTACATGAACAAACAAATTTATGTATTTCCTGTTGTATTAATTGACAATTTTTTTACTAATTAGCTGAAATTTTTGTGCAATTTTAAAGTTATTTCATGTGTTTATTATTATATTAAACAGGCCTTTGAAGTGGCGGATAGAGAGCTGGGTATTCCAGCTTTACTGGATGCTCCGGATATGGTGGCCATTAAAGTTCCAGACAAACTGAGCGTGGTGACCTATGTATCACAGTATTACAATTACTTTCACAACAAACCACAATGTAAGTTTATTTGTGTCTAGCAGTACATATTACATTTACTTTCACAACAAACCACAATGTAAGTTTATTTCTGTCTTACAGTATTACAATTACTTTCACAACAAACCACAAATTGACAATGTAAGTTTATTTCTGTCTCACAGTATTACAATTACTTTCACAACAAACCACAATATAAGTTTATTTCTGTCTAGTAGTATAACCACAATGTAAGTTTATTTGACAGTTACATTTTACTTTCACAAAATTCAGTTTCTTAATCTGTATCCTAGTTTTACAATTTATTGTGAAAAAGATTTTAGAATTAAAATGTCTGGTTAATGGTTGTTTGTAATCTTTATTTGTAGTGGGAGGACCAGGAGTGAAGAAGTCAGTAAAGAGACATCAGGAGATAGACAAGTCAGGTCCGGAGGCTAAACGACAGACACTGGCCTCCGTCAATGACTCCCCGGTAAGACTTCACTCATCTCAGACACTTCTGATGTATTTATAGTGATGTTGCTTTTTACTTTCATTTTTTTGGGATTGGTAAAGTTAAGTTTTAGGAAATAAATCTTTTGGAATAGGACTTTTTTAAGCTAAAAAATATGAAATGTTTAAAATGAATGTCAGGCTAAAATATTTAGACAAACTTTTCATTACTTAAAGATGTAGATTTAAAATTATCATGTTCAAAACTTGTAAGAACAGTAATAGATAAGAACACTTGATTCTTGCAAAACAACATGTATAAGGCCTTGTTTCTGTGAGCCCTGAATGCTGTTACTTAATATTTTAAACTTTAAATAATTCTTTTCATAGGCCAAAGAGAAACAAGTGTCTATGGGAGACAAATGTGGAATATGTAAGAACAAAGTGTTTCTGCTGGAAAGACATATTGAACATGGAAAGCTTTATCATAGATCTTGTTTCCGTAAGAGTGAACTCTCTCCTACGGCAAAAATTCTCAAAAAACCTGACTCTGAGGAATCTGAAAAAAGCAAGTCACACGATTCTGAAAAGCCCGACTTCTGGAGAAGACGAGCTGATGCCAAGAAAACGGAGGAAAGCAAGAAAGAGGAGCCGAAAAAAGAACACAAAGAAAAACATGATACGAGAACAAATAAAGCTAAATCCTTAAATTTCTTGTCGCACAACGGTGATGAACACAAGGCAAGTCATAGTGGAGTTAAACACAGACACGAAGAAAAAATGGATACTTCTGACTTAAATGGTGATCACAAAGTAAAATCAAGAGTGGAAGCAGACTCCAATAGACCTGTACCTAAAGTTCGAAATGTGATATCCTCAACAGAAAAAATGGATACATCGGATAAAAATCAGAATGAAGTAGAAAAACGTACCTCTGTTCCCAAATTTGAGTTCAGGTCCAAAATTGTTTCTGCTGCCCCAAAAGCATGTGTTGTATCTAAAATTGACACAGACAATTCTAAGCCACAGCCTGCAGTCAGAAACTTTGCTCCATCTAAACCTTCATCTCACTCAGAGTCTCCTAGAACTTCTAAGTCTCATCATGAATCAGGGTCACCCCCGCCCTTACCTAAAAACCACCCACCTCACTTGCCTGTGACCTCCAAAAAAGAATCTCCTGTGTCGGAGAAGAAATCTCTGTCCCCGCCTTCTGTGAAATCTCCATTATCTAGTGCTGAAGTCTCCCCTAAACAAGACAGACTGTCTGAACTGTTGGAAAAAGACAGTCGGAGTAGTCAGGGTAAATGGGAAGGGTTATCCTCTAAAAATAAGGAATCCGAACCCTTCTCTAGTAGTAAAACAAAGCAGGAATCTCATGAAGTTAGAAAACCTAAAGATATTAATATAAGTGGTGTAAGGACAAGTAGCAGCTCTGAGCCAGTGGCTGTGTTAAAGAGCCCAGTGAGTCCTGAACCACATGATCCTAAGGTCCTAGGTGGTTTATTGAAAAATCTGGCAGACCTTCGTCGTAGGAAGGAATCCAGTGACGATGTGAATAAAACTGTGACATCTCCAAAGGATAAGGAAAGTAAAAATGACTGGAGAAGTGAGAAAGCTAGCAGTGATACACGAAAGGAAGTTAAGAGCCATGTGTTCAGAGAGACGAATGGAAAGACAGAGACCAGGGGTGATAAGGCCAAATCAGTGGACATTCTGTCAGAGAAAAAGCCATTTTTCAGCAATAAAAAAGAATCTGATAAGCCTGAAGTCACTACATCTGTGAAGCAGGACTTAACCATCAGTGATGAAGAACCGGCGTGGAAGAAAGCTCTGGAAGAACGGAAGAAAAAGAAAGAAAGACCAAAAACTGCAGATTTGTTATTGGACAAAAAAGAGGAAAAGAGTTCAAGAAGTGTAGTTTCTATGGATGTGACGCAAATTAAAGATGAAAGACCAGCATGGCAGATAGAAGCCGAGAAGAGAAAGGCAGCTCGGCAGGGGGGATATGTGGACCCAGAAAAAGCCAAGGCAAAAGATAGCACCACAGAAACATCAGTCAAAACAGAGGTTGAGGAAGTCACAAAACGTCTCATAACTCCAGGGTTACTGCCCAAGGATGAACCAAAAATATCTGAGCCAGAGAAAAAGAAAATTTCTGTCGGGAAAAGGTTTGATTTCAAATTGCATGACCAAGAAAAGGAGAAGAAAGTCACAGAGAAACCCCCTCGACCACCCCCAATGAGCCCCACATCACTACATAAGTCTCATCATGGACTGTCTCCCGCTGTCTCCCATAAACTGGCTTCTACCAAGAAAACTGCAGCCCCATCACCCCCCAGGCCAACCATGCCCAGAACAGAGATCAAAACCTTTGTAAGTTTTCTTCATACATATCTAAGTTCCTTAAAATTTTCCCTTAAGTGTGAATGCTTTTAATCATCAATGGAAATTTTTTGAATTGTTCAATCAAAGCAAAAACGTGCAAAAATTTCAAAACTTGAAAAATGTGGATCTTTTGGATAGATGTAAAATGGAGGTTCTGAAATCGGTAGCTGGTAAGAATACTTATAATTAGTTGTAGTTTTTTTGTGGATTATTTTGTTAACTCTATTAACCCTCAACATGCTTCTCATATGACCCTGATTTAATTTTTTTTTATATTGTATGAACAATTTGTGTCAGTAACAGAATTATTTATTTTGTATTATATGTCATGTGCAAGGGAACTCTTGGTATAAATACTTTCTAAGATATCTAGTAGGATATGTTTCTATTTTTTACCTTCTTTAAAGATTTTTTTCTCTCAAATCCATATGATTCTGTGTCAATGATAGCTGTACTGAAATAATGGAATGTACACATGTATATGTATTTATTTATATGCCCAGCAAATAGTACCTGATACATATCTCTATGATAGTTATTTCATATTACAATATCTAATGTATTTTTCCAGTGTATGATTTTATCCAGTTTAGAATTCAAAATCAAGTTCATAAAATTGAAGAAATAACTGTTGATTAGAAGGAATCTTAAAGAATGTTTTGATGATACAAGTTTAATATTTTGTGTTATAAATATTGTAGGGCGATATGAAGAGATTGTCACCCCAAGAAATACAACATCAGCTGGCTGAAATTGATAGTCGCCTGACAGACTTGGAGGTCCGAGGCCGAAATCTGGAGCAGTCCATCAGAAAGGGTTACTATCGCTTATTGCTTCCTATCTCTTCTGTGTTAAGGGACTTTTTCCAGTAAATACTCCCTGAGTTAGAATCCGTTCAATGCTTCCATCCATACAATTTATAACTGCACAAGTGTCCAAGAAATTGGACATGATAAACACATTCAAGTATCTGTATTTATTACCACATATGCATGTGTTGGTTCTTTCCACTGGTGACAGGCTTTAGCTTTTGAAATATACCTTCATTCCCAGCATTTATAGAAGTCATTTGACATTTGTAACATGTTCCTTTTTTCAGTGCTTTTGGCCAAAGTGCTGCTCTGCTTGGTCACATTTCATATTTTATTAACCCTCATCCTTTGCTTTCCACTCTAACAGTTTCAGATCCCAGCAGTCCCAAATCCAGAATCCAGCCGCTATGGATAGAAAATTTCTAGGGTAAAGTGATTCAATGACACAACACATTTGGAAAAAAAGTGCATGTTTTTGTCATTTGGTTTTGAGAAATGTCACTTACACTGTTTGGTAAATTATGCAACTAACCCTGGCGTGAAAAATGACAATTTAGGTGTGCTGTTTAACAAATTTTACCTTATTTATAACTACATGTACAAAGTAGTAGTATAAAATTTCATTGATGATGATGGGTCATATATCAATTTTATGGATATATATAATGGTCAATTTCACATCTGCATGCAATACGGTTTTATAAATAATTTGAAACTTAAAAGGAATTTTCAATGAGTGGCATCTTTCAAAATCAAATGACTATTTTTTTTTAGGATGAAATCTATCAGTGGATATGTTGTTCTTTTTTGCACTTTGGGTCTCTTTAGGTTATCAAACATGCTATGCAAGTTCATCAAGTTTGAGTAACAGTGAAAGCTCAATTTAAGTTGCATCTATTGGCACATGATCTTAGTTACTTCCCCTTAGTAAGGAATTGCACAGGCCCATTAGTAGAGGGTTTTTTTTATTTTGATCTGTTTATTTTTCCTGTTTAAATTATGTCATCCTTTTTTTTTTTATTTCAACGAATCAAGAGTTAGTATTCATGTGCCTGAGAAAGTCATTTTTATTTCGGAGGGAGAGGTTGAAGATTTATGAAGTAATGGATTTGACTTAACTTTAAAATTGTAATGTATGAAAATAAAGTATATACATGTATTAAAATGTCCATATAGGTGTATTTAAAGTTTCCATGGTAGATTAGAAAAATTAAATACCAGTATTGTCCAAGTTACATGTAGCACTAGTTTTAAGTATTATTTAATGGACTTTGTATATAATATATCATTGTTTCTTTATGTATCCTTATGACAGAGAAGTTGTCTCTGTTTGGAATAGTGGCTTTGGATGGTTGAATGTGGTAAATATCATATCAGTATATTAACCATTATTTTAGTAGTCATCATCTCTACTCACTAATCATTTGAGGAAGGATATAAATATTTGCACTAACTTTTGTTCAATACATACATTTTCAATGGAAGAGTTTCTAATTATGGCTAAGTACTATTCTACTATAAATGATTTTTATATAAATAAGCCTGAGAATTTGGTGACTCTCCTGTAATCGCTAATGTTTCTTGCCGCAAACTATTCATCACAATACATGTACGAGGGTTGTCCCGTAAAATCGTGGACAAAGCGTTTTTCTCAAAAAGTAATCGGCGCACAAAGCTGAATGTTTATTTATCTATTTGTACATGATAATTCTTTTTATAAAATATAGGCAAAAATAAAGATTTTATTATGCTTGAATGTGCACGGGGTAGTTGGCGCACGGTATAAAACCAAAGTTTTATTTAAGAATACACAAGTTTGAATTCAAAATTAAAGTTTTGAATACATAAGTTTGGATTATTATCTCATCACAATAATTTTGTAGTCTTCAAAAATTTTAAGGCATTTGGTTAATTTTTGTCTGTAGCATTCGAAATGAAAGTGGTAAACACAACACACATAAATGATTTTATGCTTTCTGCACCGGAAAAGTTTTTTATTTCGATGTTGTAATGACACCTTTAGAGACCATCAAACATAAAAATATCACCATATCTTAAGTATACAAATGAAATATTTTCTTAGAATTTTTTTTTTTTGATCGAGTCCCTGCAAAACATGCTTTTGGTAATAGCAAAAGACACTGTCACATATGCACATATGATATTTTCTATTAGTTGAATGATGGTGAGAATATTGTCCGTAACTTACTAATAAATCTTCAAATCATGAGGATGCCATTTTACTTCGGCTTTTTGCCACTTGTGTATCAATGCTTTCCTAAAGTTAAATCGAATATCACTCTAATTAGCATGAGAAAACGTATGTTTTAGCACTTTGACGTTATAATCCATGCGCCGTAAGTGTGTAAAATCTCATAATTTGTTTATTTATGCATATATTTATCTGAAATTTGCTGTGTATATTACTAAAATATGTACTAAATGATAGTGAAAATTTCAGAACGCAGTGATGTTTATTTTTCACACTGTTGACTTTGGGACAACCCTGTTTTATGTAACAGAATGTAGAATGTTTCTAGTTTGACATGAATAGATTCCAGACTCTTGAACTGCTAGTAATAGTTGGTTTACCATGTATAGGATATTGACTGTTGCATTTACAGTCTTCTGTATTATTAACTCATCATATGCAGCTTCAGTTATTAACTATGAAGCCTGTAGATCTAAAGAAAACCCTTGATATACATGATTTTGCTTTCTTGAAAATTCATCGATGATGCTCCATCAAACATTAGGATATGGATACTTTATTTAAGAGGAGACTATTTGGATAGATTTTCAGGTATACTTTTAGCAGGAATCATATGCACATCCAGCAACCCCTGACTAATCCAAATCATGCAGATTTTACCTTGAGCATTTTTGCCACTTTTGTCATGCTTTACTGCAATGAAGAATATCACTCTATTTACATGTATTAGTCTAGTTGTAAGCTGCCTGAGTGTGTAACTAAAGCAACTTAATCAAAAATTTTGTATTTACAATCATATTTGTACCTTGAAGCAGTCCTGTTGACTTTGGAGACTCTAAGACTGTTCATGTAAATCTGTTAAACTTATAGAACACAGTGTCCAGTTGATTTGGTCTTTATCAGTATGTTCACGTGTATCTGTTATACTTGTAGAACACAGCGAGGAAGACGATGAAGGGCTGATGATAGAATGGTTCAAACTTGTCAACGACAAAAACGAACTCGTCCGAAGAGTTTGTGTAAGTAGACTATATATAAAAAATAAACAAAATAAGTGTATGTCAATAAGGCCATGTGGGAATATTCAGGGATTCAAGTTTTTTACCAATGATGTATCTAAAGATGAATGATTTGATCGTCCCGAAGAAAGCAAAGAAATAATGGTTTCGATCAACACAAATTCTCTATAACATCATAGTAGGACACACAGTGGAAGTTAAAATGTCTGATGTTATGTGATTGTAGATCTAGAGCTCAGGAACTTGAGGATCAACAGCATAGAATTGACAGGGAGCTGCGAGAACTCCTCACCAAAACAGGTCAGGGATTCTGTCATTGTACCTCTGATACTGAAAAATGCTATCCCTGTCATCTACACACATACATGTATCCTAGTTTATACATGTTTCTCCTGGTTTCTTTTTTTCATTTGATAAGTTCTTAATAATTTAATAATTGATATGTTTAACTTCCTTTACTGGAGAGGTTTGAAGTGATGTTTGATAGTAAGCAGTGTTATATTGTTTTGACAGAGGACACTAAAACTGAGGAGGACAAAGAACAGGAGGAGCTGCTCCTCCAACAGCTGCTGGATGTGGTCAACCAGAGGAGTCTGATAGTGGACTGTCAGGATGAGGACCGCATCAGGTAACGCTCAGATCGGCCGGTCGGTCAGGGTTACATTGGACAGGGTTACACTGGAGAGGGTCATTTACCACTGTGATTATCTGGTGATCTTTCATCTTCACTAGCCAAGGATGACTCAGGAGAGGAACCTTATTCTTGATTAATGAGGACAAAGTCATTTATCTCTGTGGTTAACTGGGGATCTTTGATCTTCATTAGCCAAAGATGATGATCCACTCTTCTTCTGATGAAATGGTCAAAAAGGCTGGTCAATTAGCTTACTGGTCAGATTGATGGTCAATCTTTGGTAAAATAATGCAAAGTTTATCTCACTTTATACAGATGATGTTACTGTAAACCAACTTTTATTCGCATGCAAGAAGGCTAGTCAGACAGATAGATACTGGTCAGACAGCTTGGTACTAGTCAGGGTCAGGCTGGACAGGGTCATTTAGTGCTGTGATTATCTGGTGATTTTTCATCTTCACTAGCCAAGGATGATGATATGCTCCTCTTCTGATGAAAATCCCTGGTAAATCGCAAAATAAGTTTATGCAGCAAAGTTTATCTCCCTTTATACGGATGATTTTATTTCTTTGCACAGAAAAGATTGCTATCTCATACTGGTAATTGTACATCAAAAGATATTTTTGTGATAAGGACTCAACTTTTACTGTTTTATGATAAGGTTTATTAGATTGTCTTGTTCATAAGATTTGTCATAATACTGATTGCTAAAAAATTAATCTTGTTGTAAAAGTCAGATAAGGAAGACTGTAGACAGTGATGAACCCTATAATTGTACTGGTTTGTCATGAGTCAAAACATTTTATATTACATAGATAAATATCTATCAAAGATGTACAGTGAAAAGATGTTGCTGTCTCAGTTTCGATGATAAAGCTTTTGTTTAATTACAGATATGAGGAGGAAGATCGTGATATTGCTGAAATTTTATCCAAAAAAGGTGAGGGTTTTGTAAAAAATTCAACTTCATACCAGAAAATTTAGAATTTCATTTGCTTCCAATACTAAAATTTGAGTGCAAGAGGAGTGCTCTAAGTAAATTTTCTAGATTTTGCACTTGCTTTTACTTATATTTCTTTCTAGTAGAGTTGAAGTGAAAGATTTAATTCAACTTCCTATGAGTGTCTATGCTATATGCTTATTAATAAAGTCATGCAGTAAGAGTGAGCCACTTGTTTTAGGGTTTATGAAAGCAAAGAATTGGTAAATTTTGTTTACTTATGTTAATCAAACATATTAAACTGCATTAAAACAGTACATGTATTTATTATATTTATCAACTCACCAAAAAATAATTTTGCACTAGCTAGCTTTATGTTGACTTGTGTACCTTTAATGTGAATCATTCTCACTCAGATTAAACTGTTCATGTAATTGTACATTTTAACAACATTTTCTTTTGGGGGGAGGGGTACATTAATTCAAAGTTTTAAACAGACCAAAAGTACTTGTACATTCAGAAAATGAAACTGACAAATAATCAACTCTAGCTCCTCAAAACTGAAGTAAATAAACAGTGGTATCATTTCTCAAGACTTTTCAAATCATGCTTCTAAGGTCAGGTTAGGGTCAAATGAGGCCCAGTCTACAATATAATATAGGTCTCGGGATTATAAAACTCGCTCAATTACAAAACAAAGTTTTGCGTAAATATGATATTTTTAGATGAGATTTAAATTATAATTCAGTCTGAACTGTATAATGCTTTAGGGATCAACTCTGTGAGAGTTATCTTTCTTATCATAGAATCAATGAATCTTAAGTTGCCCAATGTGCATGCAAGCTTTTTCATATACTAGAAAAAGAGGGCATAGAAATAAAAAGTATGTTACACAAGAGAGATTGTTTGTTTGGTGATTTGGTGTCAAGTTGCATATGTTTATTTGGTGAAATGTTATGTTAGATGTACATGTGATGTGCGCTTGTTGTAGTGTTTGGTGTATGTGAAATTGACAATTTATGTAAGTAGTGACATGTGTTAAAATAATATTTCATTTTCATGAGAAGAAAAAAAATTCAGTCATATAATGTTATCCAATGGCATATATAATGTAAATAATTCTAATTGACTTAATTTAAAAAAAAAATAAAGACAATATTGAAGATTGCATTATATGATGTGTTTACTTCATGTTTTGATTTTATGCAGTGTATTACCCAGTATTGTATCTCTCTATAACTACAGTAAACCTGTTATAAAGAAGTAAACTGAATGCACATTATAAATTTAATGATTTAAAATGGAAGAAAACAGTGGGCTTTACAGTATAAATTATTATAATTTCAATATAAAGGCGATTTTATTAATTATTAGGGCCCCGCAAGGATTTGCGGGTGCCCTATAGTAATCACTCTGTCTGTCCGTCTGTCTTTCTTCTGTCCACAAATTTCCTGTTTTTTCCTAATAACTTTTTTTATGGTTGCCCAATTAAGATCAAATTTGGTATGGTAGTTCAATAGGCAGAAAGACATATTTTGATGCTAAGTTTGTTTCTCTATGACCCTTGGTTTGGAGCTGGGGTGGTGGGGTATATTCCTTAACTTTATATAAGAATGCTTTAGTAAAGAGAGATAACTGCTGAAGATGTTTCCATTGTAAACTGAATGCTGCTATGAGTCCCTTGGGATTAATTAGCTTTCCTCCTGAAGAAAATCCAAAGCATTATCTTTATCTGTCACATTGAGATTAATTACCACCTCTGTCTGCAAATGAAGTTTGTTTTGAAGTTCAGTCAATTTGGAATGCTATGAACACTCTGAAATGTGGATTTAGATATAAATGTTTATACTTTATTTTGGTTAAAATACCTACACAATGAGTTATGATTTCATTGAATTCTAAAAACAAGAAATAGATTAAAGAAGACATATCTTTTATTTTTACTTTTTTCCCTTTATGTAAATTCAAGAATAATAATAATTTTTAAGGTAGTTGGATTAAGCCATTATAATATTAATACTGAAAAAGTTCTTATTGTAACTTTTATTAGAAGAAAATGATGAGAGAGGTACAATTAATCCCTCAGGATTAATTATCTAGCCTGCTGAAGAAAATTTAGTAGGCCTATCTTTATCTGTCATTTTAAGATTAATGAAAAACTTTGTCTGCAACTGCTGTTTGTTTTGAAGTTAAGGTCAAGCCTTCATGATACATGTATTTGCATTCATTGAAGACTGGCATTTTATATAACACAAACACAAACTTCATTATTGTTTATATATACATTCAATGTTAGGTTGTTCTTTACTGCCAGTGCCTAATGTAAATATACAAGGATATTATTTACAGGTTTTTGGATATTCAGGAATTATGTTGAAAATTTTAAGAATACATTTGCTGTTGCTTATTTCTTCATATATTTTTTAATCATTCCATAATATCGCTGCATCCTCATATAATTCCACCCTCATGATTGCCCTTGCTGACTGGTCAGTTTTCTAGTTCTGAAAGATATTAATAGATAATTGATTTAAGGAGAAATATAGTAAGGAAGTGTTATTAATTAGTATTAAATGTGTCTAAGTGTTCTTTATGTACTTCAGAGTTCTGTAAGAAAACAGCAGAGGAAAATCCAGTTGAGGAGGTCAGAGAATTGACTAAAGAAGAAAAGAAAGCAGAAAAGAAAAGGAAGAAAAAACTCAAAAAGGAAAAGAAACATAAGAAAGATAAAGATGTGGAATAATTCATCGACCATATAGACAGTTATATAGGATCAGCCCATATGTAGTAGCTAATGGACATTGTCTTGTATGTTGATTTATTCTATGGCTCAACTCAGTAATAGAATTAATAATCAAGAATAACTTATTAAAATATGGTCAGAGGATTTGTAGGGCGATAAGTGTCAGGTGATGAAAGTCATCTTGTTTTTGGGGAGATGGCATTGAGAAAAGTTTTAATATCGTATGTTTTAAGAATGCAATATTTTATCAAGGATTTATATATAGAAATGTCTGCCAATCATCTTTCAGTCGTATAATGATTTGATGCAGTCTTAGACTGTGATCAAACTTAAAATAGCATTCCATATTCCTGTTGTATCTTTGTGGACATTGATACTAGTATTTTACATACAAGATTTATTGTTTTAAAATGATACAAAGATTTCTCAATCCAAACACAATTATATGTTTAAATATTTACACACTGCAAGCCAACTTTTACTTCGGAACCCTGCGTCTGCATTAAAATCTTTTCCTTGTTTTAATTTTGATTATGTAGCTTAGCTTCCTCAATACTTAAACAAGTATCTACTACATTGCTGACAAAATATTTACAGCTGTTAGAGCCCGTACAAATGATAAATGTTGATGACATGCTTTAAAAATTCCTTTACAACACTTAGTAGACATGTACATTCCACATGATGTGGGGTCATTTTATTTCCTATAAATTGCTAGCAAATGTTATTTTTGTGAAATAATATACATGCATGTTGAAAAAATTATTCAAATTAAGTATTTATTTCAAAATGTTGATCATTTTCTGAAGCCGTTTTACTGTTAAACATGTTAAAAAAAGTCTGTGATTAAGATGAAAAATATTTTAATTTACATGTTGCATATATTTATATTCTAACATTCCATTTCTGTATTGACCAAAATATGATTGCTGTCACAGTATTTTTTCATTGAAGATATTTAAGGTGAAAATATGTGTTTGAATGTGACAAGTGCATTTGATTAAAGTACATGTACATGTACTGTTTTTGAATCTATAAGCATTAAATTCATGGCAATTTTCCAGTCATCCATAATTGTGACCTTATTAAACAGTAACTTTGGTTTGATGTATGCTAGTATGATAAAGTAGGTGCTACATTGTTAAGTTTTAAACTAGTCAGTATATTAATTTCTATATGGAAAATATCAGCACATTGTTCATTGAGATAAGAAACTGCTGGTCAGTTTCAGTTCATATTTCTTGTACATGACAAATATTTGAAATTTTGAAACTTGCAGATATTTATGTAATACTAATGTTAAAGTCCTGTCTAGTTGTACTGTGCAGTGAAGTAGGTGTAATTTCAAAGATTTTCTCTCATTTATTTTAAACATGCAGATACATGTAGATATTTTAACAGTGATATTGTCTTCCTTTGAGTATACTTCAACTGTGACTTCGTTGTATGTTTGTAACAGTACAATAACTGAGGTTTGACTGTTTTTATCCACTAGCCAGTGAAGGTTGAATTTTATTTGTTGCTATGCATAGCTTTGTATTTTATCATGAGCTTTAAGTTTCAATTAAAAAAAGAGACTGTTTTTAGTGCTATTATTATATTATATAATACACCTGGTCATTTGTGCCCCCTGGAACTGGATAATGTACATATCCTCCCCCCTTTGAGAGGTAGAATATCATATGATAGTGCCTCAATCATTGTCTGCAGCCCTCTTTGTGCCCATTCCTCATTGTAGATCCAAGTTTAATATAAAGTGCAACGAGCTGTATACCCAGTTAGTCAGAAGTGGTCATGTATCCTAACCAAACTAATTAACTTGAGTATACAGTACCTGTGTAAGCTCCTCCAATACTGATAAAGGATGTTGATCTGAACACCAGATCAAGCTTTATCAACTTTGGCTATAAATGGTTGTTTCTGCCTGTTTACAGTATACAGCAAGTGATACACAATGCAGACTTCTTCATCTGTTGTTAGATGGTTACATTGGCATTTGCCTACTACAATGTATTAATATCCATAGCTTTTATTTGACATGATAGTATAACCTGAAGTGCATCAAAAATAAGTTCATCTCAACCAATGTTATACCTATGTAAGGAATGCAGAGTCTCACACTAAAGTTAGTTCTATACATCCCTTAATGCAGCATAATATAAAAAGTATTACTTTTGTCAGATATAAACCACTGCTAATTTAGGTACAATGCTAAATGTCTTGCACATATACTCTTAAGTTAGGGTAGGATTTGCAGTAACTTGGGATCCAAGCTTTTTCTTTTCAATCATAGCATGATTAGTGATTAGGTTTTCAATTTGGAATTCACATATTCATCCATATATACTGACACGCAAAAGAAACGCAACAAGCAGTAATGTACAAATGTTCTAATTTTTTATCTAATGATTTTTTAAAAAGAATACAATAAGGCTAAACTTACTTTTCAGAACATCAGAGATTTGATAAAAATGTTAAATGTTTATCTTTTAACTTTACTAAGGAAATGACTGCCAGCCAATCGATTACAACGTGTATGACTGCCCTAAACAACAATTGTAGCTTAATTTCTACGATACAATAGGTTAAGCAATATTGAGATCTGAGTGAAGGAATTTTTCTTTGCCATTTTTAAATGCCTGTTTTTCAGATGATTGGGTAGATTTTCTCTAACTTACATGTAATGCATTGTAGTAACCCTTGGACTTCCGGTCCAAGGACTATCATTTATGCATATGATACATAAGACACCGTTGAGGCGTAATGTAGTGTATTTTTGCATCATCAACTCTCCATCACCTTTACTTTGAGATTTTCCAGCTAGAGCAATGGAAATGCTTACTTAAGCCATTTTTAAGAAGCCTTAGCATCGCTACAGGAAACGAAAGGAGATTTTATGTTTTGAAATATTGCTGAATTACTTATAAATAAGATGAACAGCACGAATTCTTAAAACTCCATAATATTGCCACATGCAATTTTTGATTTCTGTTCAGCAGACTCAAACTTGACTTCGGTTCTGGTATGAAAAATATTTACCAGATTGAAGATATCCATAATTTTGAGATACAAAATTCTTTTCTTTACATAATTATTTCCCTCAAGTAGGGTGTTGCGTTTCTTTTGCATTTCAGTATACATTTTATCATATATGAAGAGCAACAATTATCCATAGGTTCAATAATTTATTCTACAAAAATTGCAAAAAATAAAAATACAGAAAAGTATACAGTAGAATTGTGTATCACAGAAGGGTTGTAGATATGCAATAGTAAAATATGGATTTAGCATCACCCTGTAGACATGGTTAAGTGGTGTTTTTACAATAAACATTGGCACCACTACTAACTCATTTACTATAAAATATGAAGAAAAACAGAGAGTAGAAAAATTACACACACACACACATGAAGAGGATATTAGGCAAACTATTAATAAGAATTTATATTGTATAAAAATACATGTATGTCTAAAATGCTTCATACAAAAATACTTTAATGTATTACTACGACAAACTTAAATGCATCATGTTACATATGATATCACAGATGAAGAAATTTGATATATTTGCAATATATCTTAAATTGCTGGATTTCTACAGATCCTTGTTTATTTCAGTTGGAAGGCCATGCTGTAAAGAGTCTCTGTCTGCTACAGTTCCTCGTGTGTTGACTGTTTGGTGGGCCGTATCATCTTAACATTACTTCCTGGTATGATGTCAAAATCATCAGTCTCTCTGTTATACACGATTCCTCCTTGCTACAAATCAGATAATGAATCGAATTATATATTCATTTTTTTCATGGTTATTGTATATTAACTTCATCTACTTTGTTTGCTAAAACCAAGAAATAAACACGCAAGAAAAAAATTATAAAAAACTAAAAACTGAAAAAGAATTCTCAAAACCAATATGAATACAAAATCTTCTTGACTCAAACTTATCAAATTCAATTCTATGACGAGGAAGTGCATTTTCTCTCCAGAGATTTCAGTAATCATTTACCGGTAATTCTTAGATAAGTAACCATTTTCTCCCGGGGGGTGGGGGGGGGGGGGGGGGGGGGGTTGGGGGCGTGTTGATATACTCACTTTTGGGACCTCCTCAGTGGTTCCTGCTCCACCAGGACAGGAGTTGGTGACCTCGTTACAGATCGTCTGAACTATATCCAGGTAAGAGTGGTGCTTACGATTTTTGGCATTGTAGTAGTTCACTAGGGTAGACTCTATAGCTGTTCCATTGTTTTCTACAAGACAACAATACTTTCAACTTCTACTGACATCTTTGAATAGTTTGAAGAACTTCAATAACGCTACATTGTTATACTGTCAAATGCATGACTAATAGTTCCTGAGGGCTTGAGAAGATGACTCTTTTAACAATTTTACCCTCCATACTATAATGCAAAATTTGACTTCTAATGTTAAATGTGGTCCAGCCCTAAATGGTAGACTGAGGGGGGACCCATCTGAGGGTCTTCGAATGAACTTTGATCTTCACTAAATGGGGGGATATAAGCATAATTATCAATATATTTACTGTCACCTGACTAGTGCTTTATCAGATTTGTCACAATTTCATTGACACCTGTCACATTCTTTTGAAGGCAAATAAACAAATGCCAAGTTTATGGACAGAAATAATTAGGATAAAAGCCCAGCTGAGATATCACATCTTAATTAATTTAGCTAAGTACCCATATCCTTTCCTTAAACTTGTACATACTCATTATTAATTTGCAGGCTTCCTCAATGACTGAAGGAGTAATTTCATAGTGCTTAAAGTTTTCCTTCTTGCAGACAGTTGACATTAGCATTGGAACTCGTTTGTTGATTGGCTCATTTGTTGTATGTTTCAAAGTCCTTGACAATTCTAAAATTAAAGTAAATTTTGATTTAAATATCAGGAGTGTTCAGTAAGTTTAAACTTCAATAAAGGACACTTAACAAATGTGTTTGTTTCTTCAAACAGAAATTCTAACTCCCGGTAAAATAAATTTGTCTTAGAACTACTTCAGTATGTTTAACATGTTTAAAGTAGATAGAATGTATACCTTTTACTGTGGCCTGACATCCTGCACAAAGGCCAGCTGCAAAATAAATAGATAAAAGTTATGATAGAAATCACTGCTGAATCAAAGCACATAAATTCTTAAATTAATGCAATACATTTTATAATGTAGTGTATTTATAGTGTATTTTAAAGTGTAGGATGATCAAATAGAATGAACACAAACTAATCATGACGAATTTCTGTGAACTCTTGAATAACCTCACTATTCGACTATTCGGACCATGTAGAGATTAAATGGATATATAATGAATACTTTCATATTTTATTAAAACTAAAACATCCTTTAAAGAGAATCATTTACATTTCATTAAATAAACTTATTTCTTTAATCAAATATCATATAATAAGATATAATAAAACAGAAGGAGAAATAGAATAATCAGTGCACTGTTAAATTCAGCTAAAAGAAATCAAAGCATATCTGACCAAATTTAATGATTGATGTGTTATAAAAGTCGTATTAAAAGTTTACCAATTTTTAGTTTAAGTTTTTTAATTCAAATTATTAATTTTCAATGGAATTATATTAATTCGAGTCCTTTTGATTTCCTTTTGCCTTTTGCCACCAAAGTGACTAATAAAAGAGATAAAAAGACTTTTTTAAGCATGGCTTTTTGTATTGTTGTTGTTTACTATACCACCGGAAATATACGTGTACAAAGTTGAGCATGCGCAATGGGTGGTTTAGGTGTTGCTAAAATTGGATAAAATAAAGAAAAGGCCTATTCGAGAAGTGGTGAAAATAAGATGTAAATCTCCAAGGAACTTGAAAAGCACAAAATTATCCCCAAACCAATGGGGGTGCGTCGATTTACCCAAAAGGACCCAAAAGGAACCCAAAAGGACCCAAAAGGACCCAAAAGGAACCCAAAAGGACCCAAAAGGAAATCAAAAGGACTCGAATTAATATATTATAATACATTGAAAATTAATTAATTGAATTAAATTATGAATATTATATTATAAATTTACCTAAAAATTGGCAAAAACATACATTTATATTGTGGCAACTTTTCTTAAAGAAATAACATACGACTTTTATAACACATCAATCATTAAATCTGGTCAGATATGCTTTGATTTCTTTTAGCTGAATTTAACAAAGTGCACTGTATTATTCTATTTCTCCTTCTGTTTTATTATATCTTATTATATGATATTTGATAAATAAAGAAATAAGTTTATTTAATGACATGTTCTAAGGAACTTGAAAAGCAAATATGAAAGTATTCATTATATATCCAAAATTATTTGGGTTCCTTTTGGGTCCCCAAACCAATGGCATTAAAACGTTTGGCTATTCAACACTTCATACAATAAATCAAATCCTGGATTTTTGGCATCATAATTATTATGATACATACAGTTGCTTTTTCAATAAAAATAGAACTAGTGAATTTACTTACCTTGTCATTTGTCATTTTGCTTAAAAACATTCTGATTGTACACCAAAGAGTACTTTGAAGTTTATATTAAAAGATGCCTGCATTTCTGATTGGAGGTATCATCCCAAACTCAACATATGCTCAAAGAGTTCTGAATTAAATATCACTAAGCCTGACATTGTTAGGTTGTTATCAATGTAGTTATGAACCAGTTGTTAGCAACCACAATGTATATTGCACTCACAAGAAGCAGAATTTATTCAAAAACTTATACATGAGAAGAAGAAAAGACTTGCTGTGGCCTTCAACTTGACATTTAGATTACATACATGTAATTTGAAAATCTATCACCAGGTACCAAGTAATAATATTAATAAATTCTATTCAAATATCCACTTAATGTATCTCTTGCAAGTGAAATTGAAATAATAGATACAACAAAGTTTGACACATCTGGATATTTTACCAGAAAAAGACATTAGAGATACCCTAAGAACAAAACTTATGTGATATGACTTTTTTATCATCAACTTCCCTCAATTTATGTTTCAATATACACATCACCTGCACATGGGGTTTATGATTCTCAGCTGATTCAATAAACATGAGCATGCTCTATGTATGAAAACTTTCTAAAATGGAGGCAAGCTATTGACAAACAAGTTGATTAAACAAGGATATCAACAGTCTTGTTTAGTCTGATTAAGCCAGCATTTCAAAATTTCTATGATTGATACACTGATCATGTTGGCAAATACAACCTATCTTGCTGACTAAAGGCATTTCATACTCATTTACGCATTTTTCCATTGACCGATCATGACAGAAAGCACACAGCTGGTGAGACTGGTTGACAGTAGGGATGTCAACGAACAGTCAACTATTCGACTATCAATCGAATGGAAAATACAGTGACGATTGAATAATGAAACAACATTCAAATATTAGATATATGTAAAAAACACAAAGGTGATAATGAAATTTTCATCTCAAAATTGAAAAAGCGTCCTTCTTCAAACTATATAGTGTACGTCCCCAGACGAATTTATAAGAGCTCAAACACAGTCAAATTATATCAATAATTTTCCACATTGTACATATGGAAAATACAGTATTATTTCTCAATCACTGACGTTTTTGTTATTAATTGTAGTACATTATGCAAAAATACTTCATGTGTTTTTCGAACAGGCTAGTTTTTTTTAAATAGCTCTCACACTATACTGGATTATGAATATTATTTGACTTGTACCAATTCTATTTATACTCTAGGAATTTCAAATGCTAGGAACACACAATATTTGCATAGCCGTGAAGTTTTTATGCTTCGATAATTATAATAACAATAATCTAACATGTATAAAAGGCATTTTTATAGCTTGGGCAATCATTCATTGAACAGTATATATCTTTAACAATATCACCTGAGGTGTGGATATTGTGTGTTTACAATTCCCCTTTTCTATAATTTATTTCAATTTACCAATTTATTTTCATTAATAAGCTTTTTAAAAAAACTGCAATCAAAAAAAGTTCCGAATAGTCAACTATCGTTCGAATAATGCAATCGAATGTTCCACTAAGGAAAATTAACACTTTGACATCCCTAGTTGATAGGGATTGCAATTACATATTTTTGCGTCATCAATATTTTACATGTGTAAAGAATATTTAAAAACAAGGTAAACAACAAAACTATTCAGATTTTAATACAAAACATACTTAATACATTCAGTTCATTTGCACTGATGTCATCATAATTTCCAGAAATAACATATTGTAAAAAAAGAAATATACAACAGTTTGTAGACCATAAATAATACCTGATAAAATTGTGAACAGAATATATACCATAGATAGTACTTGATAAAAATTTCAATAATTTAATTGCATCATGACTTGTCTTTGTATGAGAGAGTCCTAGTCATATTTAATTGTTTAATGTCTAAGGTGATTGAAAGAAGTGATAGTCTCTGCACTTGATTCACTAGAGAGAGATTTTTTCGTGTGTGATTTGCACAACCTCTTGGACATGCCCATGCATTACCCTTAATACTCTTCTCCACTGCGGTACAGCTCTCAGTGGAAATCGGGTTTCTCTGGGTAGGTGCATCCTGATCGTTGAATAATAAGGTTAGCTGCATAGTTTGCACATCGAATGCATTCCTCTATAGGCTTGCCTTTAATAAGCTGGGCTAAGAAACCTGTTAATAAATATATTATAATAAATTCTGACATTATTAAACTTTTAAATTAATTTTTTTCCAAAATATGTTCAGTTTTTTTATCCAGGTATACACAATGCCAGTTGAGTTTCCCATAATGAGTGAAATGCAGCTGACAAGCGTATGATACAATTTCTAAACAAGAAATAGTGTAAGATACATGTACCATTAAAATACGAGGGTTGATCCAAAAGTTTGTGGAATTTCTTTCTAAAATTTTATCATGATTTGACAAGAGCAAACAATAGGCATATTTATAAAATAGAGTCATAATGCAACAATACTGGAAAATTTCACCACATTCCAATTACTAATAAGGTCACAAGAGCTTTCTGAAAATGGATGGTTGTGAAACCCGGGGGAGACTTCGACGTAACGTCAAGTTAGGTATGTCACGTCACATTATAGAATCATCTTACCGTAATGTCAAATTCGAACACGTAATTTTTCAAAATGCTGCCCTTTTCTCCATTTTTTTTCTCAAGAAAAGCCTGGGTATGCTCTCGCACCAATTTATCTTCATTTTTTACTCATATTTCAAAATACCCCCCATCTTTCCATATGATGTTCCGATTTCAGTAGCAATGTCAAGAACAGTACGTCAGCCGACAACGTCTATTAACGCTTTCAATTTATCAAGGGGGACAACACTTAAAACAGAGCCTCAAAAAGGCGGCCACACCTTTAATCAACGTCCATGAAGGTTCTATTTTTCTTCATTTTCTTACGCCACTGGAAAACCAGTGGCTAAATGCATTTTTCCTCAGTCTATGTCAATAATAAACGCATTTAAGATAGAGCGATCCCGGGATTTTCACAAAACTTATGACTTGACTGAAATTTGACGTCGTCTAACAACCTTAAGATGAACAATAAATTATTAACTAATAAACAAAATATCCAGGAAAATCAGTAAAATACACACACAAAGGTTTATAAAAGATCAAGCAATCGTAATAATGACATAATTTTTGTTTTCAAAAACACGAAGATCGGTTTAATTCTCATTTCAAGTATTAAGAATTAAAATGATAATAAACGCGTTGATGTCTCCCCCGCATTTCCAAACATCCGTTTCTATGGCAACTGCCAAAGAGTTACTATTAAAATATTTAAAATATTTTTTAATCTAAAATATTCAACAAGTGTCTTTATTCTCATATGTAATTTTCAACCAATTTCACTTATAAATGAATGAAATATTAAGAAATTCCACGAACTTTTGGATCAACCCTCGTATGTAACTGCTGTGTCAAGGGACATAACCTTGAAGACTGTAGAAATGTGAATACTAATACTGGTGTTTTACAGTAATGTCACCTACCTCCAACAAAGGCATCCCCAGCTCCATTAGTATCTACTATATCCTTGTCAGCAATAGGAATGACAGGGTACTCTGTTGTTTTACCATCTGTTATA